TCGATCCTATCTATCCTATCTATCCTATCTATCCTATCTATCCTATCTATCCTATCTATCCTATCTATCATATCTATCCTATCTATCCTATCTATCATATCTATCATATCTATCATATCTATCATATCTATCATATCTATCATATCTATCATATCTATCATATCTATCATATCTATCTATCTATCTATCTATCCTATCTATCCTATCTATCCTATCTATCCTATCTATCCTATCTATCCTATCTATCCTATCTATCCTATCTATCCTATCTATCCTATCTATCCTATCTATCCTATCTATCTATCTATCTATCTATCTATCTATCTATCTATCTATCTATCTATCTATCTATTCTATCTATCTTATCTGTCTAGCTGTCTAGCTGTCTATAGCTGTCTACCTGTCTATCTTTTGTGCAGTGTCATTCAGTGTAATGTAGTGTAGTGTAATGTAGTGTAATGTAGTGGAGTGTAGTTGTAGTTGTAGGTGGTAGTGGAGTGTAGTGTAGAGTAGCGTCGTGAAGTGTAGCGGCAGGTAGTGTAGTGTAGTGTAATGTAGAGTAGTGTAGTGGAGTCTAGTGTAGTGTAATGTAGTGTAGTGTAAGGTAGTGTAGTGTAGTGGAGTGTAGTTGTGTAGTTTTAGTTGTAGTGTTGTGGAGTGTAGTGTATTGTAAGGTAGTGTAGTGTAGTTTAATGTTGTGTAGTGGAGTGTAGTGGAGTGTAGTTGGGTAGGTGTAGTTGTATTTGTAGTGTAGTGGAGTGTAGTGTAGTGTAATGTAGTGAAGTGTAGTGTAGAGAGTGTAGTGCAGTGTAATTTAGTGGAGTGGACTGTAGTGGACTGTAGTTGTGTAGTTGTAGTTGTAACCTGTAGTGTTGTGAAGTGTAGTGTAATGTAATGTAGTGTAATGTAGTGTAGTGCAGCAAAGTGTAGTGTCATGTAGTGTAGTCGAGTTAAGCGAAGCAACATCTGAACCGCCAAAAGTGGTCCGAAACCCTAGTGTTTTTTACATGTTAACTTCCAAATCTGCTTCGCGCCACAACGGCGTGCACTTTTTCGAAACTCGACATCTCAGCCTCCAAAAGTGGTCCGAACATGGTGTGGTTTGTACATTTTGACTTCGAAATGTGCTTCGCGCCACAGCGGCGTGCACTTTTTCGAAACTCGACCTCTGAGCCTCCAAAAGTGGTTCGAACCCCTGGTGTTTTGCACATTTTGACTTCGAAATGTGCTTCGTGCCACAACGGCGTGCACTTTTTCGAAACTCGACCTCTGAGCCTCTAAAAGTGGTCCGAACCCCTAGTGTTTTTTAACATTTTGACTTGGAAATGTGCTTCGCGCCACAACGGCGTGCACTTTTTCGACATCTTAAGTGCCAAAAGTGGTCCACACTTGGTGTGTTTTCTACATTTTGACTTGGACATGTGCTTCGCGCCACAACGGTGTGCACTTTTTCGACATCGCAACTTCCAAAAGTGGTCAGACCCTGGTGTGTTTTGTACATTTTGACTTGGGGATGTGCTTTGCGCCACAATGGCGTGCACTTTTTCGACATCTGAAGCGCCAAAAGTGGTCCGATCCTCTGGTGTTTTGTGCATTTTGACTTGGAAATGTGCTTCGCGCCACAACGGCGTGCAATTTTTCATGTCTCATCTCCCCATATGTCTCCGCACCCGGCGCTTTAGCGAGCCTACTTTTCGACCCTCCGGAACCACAAATCATTGGAAAAACACAGTGAATCGCTACTTTCCTACCTTTTCGCGCATCTGCATCTTCTTTCTTCTGACTCTTTCTCTTCTGAACTTTCTCTTCTCTCTGCCTCTGCCCTGCTCTGCTTTTCATCTGTCCATATTGTCGGAAGTTTAGCTTCTCAACTTCCTTCGACAATATAGTTAAAGATATGTATCTATATATATATTTATATATATACACATAATAATTCCATGATATATATATATATACTAAATAATCTCAATATACATATAGATTCGTATATATATATATATGCATGCATACTCTACCCAGCAATTGTGGGATATTGCGCTTTGGCTAGTGGTTGCCGAAGCATAATCGCTGCCCCTTGCTCAGCATATCTAGATCATTTGGTGGATTTTCCGCAAGGGTTCCTCCAAGATATTCTCTTCAACCAAAAGACTTCGCTAATGACATTTCAATATGTTTCATATATATGTATATTCGTATATATATAGTTATCATGTATAATAACTAGAACACCTATAATGACTAGAATTACTATAATAACTAAAACATAATTATCACAACTATATTGAACCCCCCCTTCGATTCCCCCAAGGTCCGCCTCTAAAGCCGCGTTTGCAAGAAGTCACCCCGCGGGCCCACTTTTTGCACCAAGATTCCAGCACCAGGATAGCCCTAAGTCAGTTGCTTTGGGCACATGCTGGGGTCAAAACACCACGTTTGTGAATCCCACACTGTTCTACACATGTACACACCAGAATCAACCCCATCCGCGTTGCAACAATGTGCTGCCCCCAGTTACACGTTGCCTCGCAAACCCCATAACCTGATATTTATACATATATCTATCTATATGTATGTATTTATATATATATATATATATGTCTGTGTGTCTGTGTGTGTGTCGTGTCCCCCCTCCCTGAAACCTACCTTTTTGTTACCCGCCCTCGAGTCCAAGCCCAGAAGACTTTTTTCGATATCCGCCCCAACTCCACCCACGTCCGTCCGCAGCGGATATGCCTCGTTCCCTTGCTCTCTTCTCCTGTTCCAACCCACGCCTACCTTTCGATCTTTCACCCTTCCCTCTCAAGTTCAATGATACATTATTAAAAATAACCGGACATCCAAGGGACCCGTATGGGAATGCTATGGGAATATCATGGAATCAAATTGGATGCATCCGCTCAACATTTGCTGGGAAAGTGGTGTAAATCCGGGCATGAAAATGGATGGTTTCAGATCCTCAAAGTGTCACAGTTGGTGCCCCATCGACTTGGCTCATAACCGGATAATTCCAACCCAATTCCAAACATGTTTAGTTTCAACAACAGTCCCTACACAAATAATCATAGATCCTCTAATGGTGGTATGGTTTCAATTCCCAGTAATGGGTGGTTTATGTGTTTTACCCACATTATATGCCATATAGATCCCATATATATATATATATCCCATATAGATCCCATATAGATCCCATATCCCATATAGATCCCATATACATCCCATATATATATATATATCCCATATAGATCCCATATATATCCCATATATATCCCATATAGATCCCATATAGATCCCATTTAGATCCCATATAGATCCTATATAGATCCCATATAGATCCCATATAGATCCGCTATAGATCCTATATAGATCGCATATAGAACCCATATAGATCCCATATAGATCCGCTATAGATCCCATATAGATCCCATATAGATCCCATATAGATCCCATATAGATCCCATATAGATCCGCTATAGATCCCATATAGATCCGATATAGATCCCATATATATATATATATATCCCATATAGATCCGCTATAGATCCCATATAGATCCGATATAGATCCCATATAGATCGCGTATAGATCCCATATAGATCCGCTATAGATCCCATATAGATCCCATATATATCCCATATAGATCGCGTATAGATCCCATATAGATCCGCTATAGATCCTATATAGATCCCATATATATCCCATATAGCTCGCGTATAGTCTCCCATATAGCATCCGCTGTATCTCCAGATAGATCCTGATAATAATATCCCCTAATAGATCGCGTATAGATCCCATATAGATCCGCTATACGATCCACATAGGAATCCGATAGTAGCGATCGCGCATATGACAATCAGCGTCTAGATCCCATATAGAATCCTGCTATAGGATCCTATCATAGATCCCATTAGTATACCCATATAGATCGGCGTATTGTAGTCCCATATAGACCGCTATAGATCTTATATAGATCCCAAACTAATTCCTATCTGATCCACTAGAGGATCCCATATAGCATCCGCTATAGATCCTATATAGATCCCATAAATCCAATATAGATCCCATAAAGAATCCCCATATAGATCCCATATCGATTCCCAGATAGATCCCATAATCCAATATATATCCCCCTATAGAATATCTAATAGATCCCACATAGAATTCGCATATAGATCCGCATATAGACCCGCTATAGATCCCAATAATCCGCTATAAGATCCTATATAGATCGCATATAGAACTCCCATATAACTTCCATATAGATCCTCTATAGATCCCATATAGTATCCGTATAGATCCCATATAGATCCGCTATAGCATCCATATATAATCTCCCATATATAATCCCATATAGATCACGCTATGTCTTCATTCCCATATAGATCGCGTATAGATCCCATATAGATCCGCTATAGATCCCATATAGATCCCATATATATCCCATATAGATCGCGTATAGATCCCATATAGATCCGCTATAGATCCTATATAGATCCCATATATATCCCATATAGATCGCGTATAGATCCCATATAGATCCGCTATAGATCTCATATAGATCCTATATAGATCCCACATAGATCGCATATAGATCCCATATAGATCCGCTATAGATCCCATATAGATCCGCTATAGATTCTATATAGATCGCATATAGATCGCATATAGATCCCATATAGATCCCATATTGATCCGCTATAATTATCATTTCTAGCAAAAAAAACAAAAATGGTCGTCGCCAGACCCCGAGGCAAACGCACCTTCGTGGACCAGGTGGAGTCTTCTCTGCCGTCGCTGCGGCGGCGTGTGGAGGGAGAAGCCGAAGAAGCCGAAGAAGCCGATGCCGCGGCGGAAAAAGGGGATGAAACCATATAGAAACTTTGTTACATAGCTCTTGAAAATGGACCATTTAAAGTTGATTTGTTGATTTGCCCATTCAATATGGTGATTTTCCAGAGCAAACTGTTAGTTTACCAGAGGGTATTCTATGGGAGTTGTTCATGGGATTCACCAACTTGATGTGACCTGAGGCTTTGGCCAAAAATTGAATATGCAATCACCAAGAAATTGCCGGTTGAATTTATTTGAATAAAAAAAACTGATGTTCTGAACCAGTGGATTTTGGTGTTTTTGCTAATTTGCGAGAAACCCTGGTAATGGAGTCAGAAATGTCATGAATTACCCAGCATGGTGCGAGCAGCACAAAGTTGTTGTGGGCAACAGGAACGCTTGGAGGACGACCCTAATCCGCATTGCTTCAGGCCTCACCTCCATTGTGAAGAGTGGTTATGGGCGAAATGTCCTTTAACAAAAGAGGAAAATGGTGGGTTCCTTGCATGGTTTCGTGCAAGCCCGGAGGTTTCCAAGCTTCAGCTCCTTCTTGTTGCCGCCGCCACCAGTGTTATACAGAAAGGTCGTGCCCAACAGTGGCATCGACTCCCTCTCTGGCGCCATGACGCGAGTTCTTCCCATTGCCAATCGCCAATGCAATAAGGATTACACATGGACACTTGCATGCACCACAAGTGGTGGGGTTGTTTTTTTCATGAGGGATCACCATGGGTTTCAATACTAAGTCATGGTCTGATTTTGGATGATTGAGGGGGTACCTCCATGACATTGAAACCCTCCATGTGGATGTTGAACAGATTATTTCTACCAACATGAGGAGTTCGACAGGAAACATGGGAGAGATAGAGGAATCTACTGTAATGAAGTACAATACTGTTTGGATATCACCCAAACTGTGAACTGTGGTGGATGTTGATAGGTTACAAAAAAATCCGGTAACCGATGGGTCGTCCATGCATGGAGCTGGCCACATTTTCCATGCGACCTGATTCACTGGCCATGCAACTCACCAATTATGAGGTTTAGTACATAGCTATGGAAAATGGATGAACATGGCGCACTTATAGACTTACCAATAAAAATTGCGATTTTCCATAGCAACTGCTAACAAATGACCAGAGTGCACACTTCAAGGAACGTTACACGCTACACCGCAGGAGATTCAAGGTGTGCGCACTGCTTTGTCAGAAGGGGGGGACGTGGTTGAAGCCCTCAAGAACCTGTCGCAGCAGTTTGGAGAAATAGTTGTTACTTGTTTCAAAAGTATTGGGTCTTGGTCAGATGTCTCATGCTTTTGTTTTGAGCTTGGCATTTGATGCTAAGGACGGGCGACATCTACCAATGCTCCACAGGCAGAGGGCAATGGTGGCCGTGGGCACGCCGGAACAGCTTGTGAAGGGAAACCATCAGCAAGAGCCCCAACCATCCGATCTAACTGTTACCATCAAAGAGCAAGGATTTCACAACATGGACTTTGCCCCAGACAACATGGACATTCACACAATTCTTTGAGGATGTTTGAGGGAAGTAGTCTTCCCCCTATTTGGGTTTACGTTAAGCTGGAGGATATCATGAAAGAAAAAAAAATAGTGAAGAATGACACATGACAAATATAATGATGATTTATGATTTAATCATATATAATCCCAATAGCCCAGCAAGCATAACTCCCTACAACACACACACATATATATATATATAATATATATATATACACATTGGGGTGCTCAATAGGTGCTGACCCTTGTGACCCGCCATTCTCAACAGGTTGGCCGACTCCGGAACTGGTTCCCGAATTTGAAGATGACGAGATGCTGAAGCGTTTTGGATGCAACCGGGAACCTGGAACAAAACCACGCAAATTCAAAGAGTAACATACGGTTACTGTATATAGTTATATATAGTTATAATGTTATATATGTAGCATATTTTTCCAGTCTTGGTGGTTCATCCCACTTAGTAAGTAGATGTAAGTAGGTTATAACCCAAGTTTTTTGAGTGGATTGCCCTTACTTATCCCACTTAGAACCAGGGATATATAACTACTCAGTAAGTGGGATGAACCACCAAGCAACATAGAGTTGTGTGGGCATTTCTAAGTTATCCTCTAATCAAACATGGTACTGGAAAATCGCCTATAGATGATGCCTTGCTTTTTGAATGGCCTTGCGATGCCTTGCGTAGGGGATTTCCCTTCAAGCCACGCTTCCCGGAGGGTAAAGGTTGTTGGGTTCCCTGGGCCAGGAGATCTCAAATCAACCTGCCATACCTGCGAACAGAAACAGATCCACTAGCTAAAAGAAACATAGTTAGGGAAGATGCATAATCAGTTTATAAGTTTCGAATCCACTTAAGCCTTGTCAGTTGCAACATGTTAATAAACTCAGTTGACGTATCCATGGGGGGGTCATTGTTAAGGACATTAAAGCGCACTTGTGAGATACAAAATTCCCCATGCCGTCAATAGATACGAAATATTGCTAAAAGCAGACTGGAAAGCGGAAAGAGTGGTTCCTTTCCCGGCGCCTGTACCGAAATATGGATTGGAATTGGATCATATATGATCATATCATATACTGAAAACCATACTTATGTTTGAGCAATGACGAACTATAGGTCCATTGCCGTATATCCCAGTAATCCCCAGTATACATCAAGTTGAGATTGCATATATCTCCCACTATATACCCGCGATATCTCCAGTATACACCGTCCATCCTCAAGGCGGGAGTGGAACTACTGGGAGGAGGACCACGCAACTCACGATGCTGCTGAACCCCCTTTCCGTCCCTCGGCGCGAGCTGCTGGTGACGCTGGTTGGGACTCAACTGCCAGATGAAAACAGCCATGGGACCTCGAAAGTGCTTGGTGTCAGATAGTGTGAGACAATGGAAGATAGGAGCAGGACGCCGGAACGTACAGCTGTTTAGGCAAAAGATGCCATAACATCCATAAACAGAATCAAACATGTCAAGGAAAGTCGGGAAAAAACATAGGGAGTCAAGCGTGTCATGCCAACAAAAAATCAAGAAAGATCAAGAAAGCATGGGAGCATCAACCATGTCACTTCGAACAACTAGAACTGGTTGCTGGTTTGGAACATGAATTTTATTTTTCCATATATTGGGAATGTCATCATCCCAACTGACTTTCACTCCATCATTTTTCAGAGGGGTAGGTCAACCAACCACCAACCAGCCATTTGTTTAATCAATGATTAACCTTCATTAACCACTATTAACCACTATTAACCACTATTAACCATCATTAACCATCATTAACCATCATTAACCACTATTAACCACTATTAACCATCATTAACCATCATTAATCATCATTAACCACTATTAACCACTATTAACCACTATTAACCATCATTAACCATCATTAACCATCATTAACCACTATTAACCACTATCAACCATCATGAACCATCATTAACCATCATTAACCACTATTAACCACTATTAACCACTATTAACCACTATTAACCACTATTAGCCACTATTAGCCACTATTAACCATGGGGTAGGTCAACCACCAACATCCACCAACCAGAGAAAATCCCCGGAAAACCCAAGCCATCCATTGGGCCTTTAACCGAGGCCTCCCAGAGGCGGTGAAGCCCTGGGATGAAATCAAGGCAGTGATGTTTGGAGAGGCCGCCGCGGTTTGCCGCGGCAAAAATAATAGTAATCTCGTAATCTATATATATATTATATATATATTACAGTATATTGATCATGATTTTTGTTTTGGTTTGCGCTGAATTTTGGGAGACTCCTGGAAGCTGCAGTTTTGACTCGAAGCATACTCGGCCATCATTGACTTGAGCCTTATTTGGGGACACAGGTGGCGCCAGTTTTTGAAATGACGAGGAGTCATCAAGCCATATGGGTATGGATCAATACCTATTATATACCATTTTTAGTGGGATGAACATCCATTTACCAGCTATTTTGATGTTCACCAGGGGGTACAAAACAAGGTTTTGACACACTGCCATATAATGCCTTTCTCTCGTGCACATGTGACTGGGTGTGAACCCTTGTGTATGCTGTTGGTTCATGAGTAGAGTTTGCGCCAGGCTTTGCTTGAGGAAATGGTCCCACCCCGCTAAAAGCAACATCGTTGGATATCGTTTGTTGGTTACTAAACATGTCTAAGTAATTTGGGCAATCCATGATAGTTTGCCAGAGGGTCTATCCCTGATGTTTGGTAATGTGATCACCATTTCCGCTGTCTAAACCCTTTATTTGGGCATGAAAATGGAGTACCAACCAATTCCATGGAATTATCATTATTTCTCTCATCATTTCATGGGAATCTTGGGGTATACCTCATGTTTTGGACACACGAGACACACCCAGATATCATAATGATTGGTCATATATACTAATTATATTACACCATGTTATCTCCGATATCATCCGGTATCAAGATCCCTATGTGCTTGCATGTGCTTGCAATCGCCTATAAAGACATTCCGATTTGCACGAAATCTTTGTTACAATATGTTACAATCATTTTTTGGATGGTTATAAGAAAACGCATATCTTTGTTGCGTTCCAGTCTTTCTGAACTTTGGCCATCACGGCCATCGCTGCAGGTGAAGCATTCAGAACCCATGGATGAGACGTCGCACTTTCGCCAGATGGTGGAGAGTTTCTGGATTTTCGAGGTGGTCCCCTTTTCCTGGTGCTAAATGATGCTAAATGTAGTGAAGGGAATGGAATGATTCTTAATAGTTCTGGATTGGGGCATTCCCCTACCAAGCACCAGTAAGTTTTGGCACCTGAACCCTGGAAAAGAATTTGGATTTGCGTTTTGTAAAAGTGACTTGTTGGTTTCTGGTTCATCCTCCAGAAATAGTGAATCTTTTTGGGAATGGTTCTATGTTTTTTTTTTTTAGGGGGTCTGTGAGCTAATCCAAGAGAATTGGTGAAGACATTGTATTTTAATGTATTTCAAACTATTTTTAAACATTGAGAAATCCACAAAATTCATCAAAATTGTATGATGAATTAGTCACTTCAAGGATGCATCAGGGAGTTTGAGACGACAAATTGACAAAATCACCATTACCCTCTGGTAATTTAACATAGCTATGGAAAGATCCACCATTTTTCATGGGAAATTCCACCATTTCTATGGCCATTTTCAATAGCTATTTTGACATAACCAGAGGGTAAATGATATTACATGGCCAAAGACCCCAACTGCACATTGAGACTCCTTTCCAGCCTGGGCTCGGCCACAATTTTGCGAAGTAGGATCTCAAAGCTCAAGGATCAAAATCACTTGAAAGAGGATCAAACTTGAACAGGGGTTGGTAAATGTCCTTGGTTTTTTTTGGGATTTTGAATATCTCTTTCAAGTAATAATATGTTGGATATTATATCCGCAATAGTTAGGTGATGTTTAAGTATGACATTTACCAACCCAACCACAAGTAAATTAAGTTACTTATATTGTCCAAATTATAACAGCCATTATTAATTAGGCAATTATATTGTCATATTTACCAACCATGATGAATACCGTTTATCATGTCCAAAAGTCACATCCAAACGTTAATCAACTTCATTATGACTTTTTATCATATTTTAACTGGTTGGTGGTTTTAAACATGTTTTATTTTCCCCAATAGTTGGGATGATGATCCAATCTGACTTTCATATTTTTCAGGGGGGTTGAAACCACCAACCAGTTAATCATGAAAACACCATCAACTGTGGTTTCAGCCCCCGTCCGTGAGTTCTTGAAGTGTTTTCAGGCGATGAAACCCTGCAAAAAAAAAATGCTGTCGCAGGTGATATCCACGGCCCAAGGTTCTTCCATTTGCCGCACCCATCCAGATTGGCAGCATCAATGATGGCTTGATTATATATATATACATATATATATATATATGTGATAGAATTATATATATAATATAATTATTTTTTTGTTCAATATATATATATATACATATATAATTATATATATAATTGTTTGTATAATTATATATATATGCAACCATATATTAAAGGAAAAACGTGCCAACAATCTTCGAGGCGGCTCATTTTTTTCCACTCACAGCTCCCAGGTTTGTTGGATGAATCCGGCCCAGTACCTCGGCCAGATTCGGTGATTCGATCCACGTTCTCCAAGATTTCATGGTCATCATTTAATGGGATAATCGTGGTTAATAGTGGTTAATAATGGGATAATCGTGGTTAATAGTGGTTAATAGTGGTTAATAGTGGTTAATAGTGGTTAATAATGGGATAATCGTGGTTAATAGTGGTTAATAGTGGTTAATAGTGGGATAATCGTGGTTGATAGTGGTTAATAGTGGTTAATAGTGGGATAATCGTGGTTGATAGTGGTTAATAGTGGTTAATAGTGGTTAATAGTGGTTAATAATGGTTAATAATGGTTAATAATGGTTAATACTGGTTAATAATGATAATCAATGATTAATATCATTATCTTATGGTAAATAAACAGTTGGACCCTGAAAATGACCAATTTTTAGTGGAAACTAATCTTCCAACCCCGATGACTGCCAGGGTCTATGTTAATTTACTGGAGGGTATCTTATTGGATAACATCTGTTTGGTGGTTTCAAACATGGCTGTTATTTTCCAACTCATATATGGGATAATTAATCCTTCCCATTGATGAACTCATATCTTTCAAGATGGTTCAAACCACCAACCAGACATTATATTTAAGTGTTAATACAATACCCCACAAGTAACATAATTTAACATTTATGGCGATTGGGATACCTCCAGCCAGCCCAAGAAAAAACATGTTTCCTGATGCCGAGGAGGATGGTGGCGATAGTTGGATCAGGATGGGCTACACAACAGCTATGCTGCGAAATCTTCCAAACAAGCAGCTGGGCACAAAAAAAGAGCTGCAGTATATTGGGATATATTGGGTAAAACTTGGTAAACAATGAGGTTGTGTGTATTTCAGTGGTGGTTCGTCTAATAGTTCATTGTTTGCCCCGTTTCGCATCTTTCAGCAGGGATGGTTGATGCTAGCTTGAAGACCAGTTTGGGTGGAGGCATGGCATTTGAGATTAGCGATGAGCGTGTTGATGTGATTGCTTATTTTGCTTTGACACATATTTTGCTTCGCTCACATCAAGGCGGTAGAAAAATGGCAAGGCCAAAGGCATGTGCACTTATCAAAGGCATCCGTGCGAATCTCCTGGTATCTTTTGATGAATCCCTTCAACATTGGCATGGGACATCTCAAAAATATCTAGATGAAGCATCATGTCCTCAATGTGACATCACTGAAATGATGGTTCCTAAGGGGGCTCAATCCCCGGCCTTAATTTAGCCAGGACTAAGTCAAGCACTTTGGGTGAAACCCATGGGGTTCCGAACCGTTTCCGGCCCTAGCTTTTGAAGCCTTCTTAGATGTTGTATGATGTTGTAATACCCTCTGGTAATTTAACATAGCTATTGAAAATTGCCATTTATAGTGGATTTTCCCATTAAAAATGGTGATTTTCAATAGCTATGTTAAATTACCAGAGGGTATCTGATTTTGCTCAACAAAGCGTGCTTTCCGTAGACATTTTTTTTTCCCTCCCTCAAGGGTGATACCCACGATGCCTTAGGTACATGCGCGACAAGCTGGTGAGCCGCCTGAACAGCTGTGGCTACAAAGGTGCGCCGTTTTGGGGGATGCTTTGCCATTGTCAAGCAGTGACCAAAGCGATGCAAAAGCCATGAAGGCTGGCTGTTGATCGGACAGTATAGTGAGTCAACAAAAGCTGGTTTGTTGGGGACTAGGGGGTTATTCATCACCCATTTCATAGGCATAGCGAATATATAACCGAATACCTGCCAAGATAGTAGTGGAATGACTTAACGGGTTTTTAAACGCTGCTCAGTGGCAAGTTACACAGCTGGAGGGTGATTCATGGTGATTCATCAGCTTCCCCCGTCGATGAGCTGATTGATCCATTGTTGACACACTTGGATTTTACCCTCTGGTAACCTGGTAAACATACAAAAAACTATGGAAAATCACTATGTTTAATGGGTAAATCTACTATTTCTATGGCCATTTTCAGTAAACTCACGTACCTGGAGTCTCCCTGCACCTGCTTTTATCCGCCTTGTCTTTTTGGCCCTCATGTTTCTGCTCTTTTGAAAAGAAAAGGGCGCAGGCACTTGAAAAAGGCGCAGCTAGATTCAAACCACCCTATCATGTTGTGTCTTGCCTGGTAACCCTGCGCGATAGACATAATACATCAATTGAAGAAAATAGTAGCACCGCTGCGTGAAACAGAAAAGGTCCTGAGGTTAAGAAATTATTGCCACGTTTTCAATCCATTTGAAATGACCAATTAGGGGCCACAACTATTCCACGGACCCTCAACATCCGAAAATATCTGAAAATGATTGGAAAACGATGGGTTGTTTGATGGTACCCCCCAAAGTGCTTCAGACACTTTGAATATGTTTCTGGTTTTGTCTATAGTCTATTGCTATGAAACCATAGCAAAGCCAAGTTTTGCGCGTCATGGCTCAGGTGATATCGACTTTCTCTACCTGCCCATTGACTTCAGGCTGGGGGAGCAAAGGTCCTTGATCCATCCTTGATACATCCCGCAGTAATGGGACGGAGAAACAATGCTGGGAACGCATACATAGCCATGGAAAATGGCCCATTTATAGATTATTTTCCAAGCTAGAAACCTCCATTTATTTTGGTGATTTTCCATGGCAAACCGTTAGTCATAACCAGATGGTAAATGTATGTACCCTCTGGTAAACATACAAAAAGCTATTGAACATGGCCATAGAAATAGTGGATTTACCCAGCTATAAAATGGTGGATCTTTTCATAGTTTTAATGTATGTTTACCAGAGGGTAATTTCTTGGCAGCTTCAGGTGACAAGTATGTGATTTGGGATTTGGGGATGGGTCAAAACCCTATCCCCCTGGTGAACATCAAAATAGCTGGTAAATGGATGTTCATCCCCCTAAAAATGGTATTAATAGGTATTGATCCATACCCATTTATTTACTGGATTCACGTAGTAATTTGTAAATCCTCGACCTCGATGGTTTTTTGAGTGGTGCGGCTAGTCCGCAAACAACATCGCGTTCAATTCACAACACCTGCGTGTTGTACCCATGGTTCCTGGCTGGCAGGAACAAGTGCAATGTGGGCTATTGTTTCTTGAACTTCCGGACCTCCAAGGCCGGGTTGTGCAAAGCTTGGTGATGAGTTTGTGACCGCACGCCGCGCGTGTCAATCGGCAATTGATTTACAGCTGCTATAGTTAAATCAATTATGTTCCATAATTATGTTATTTATGTATGGGAATGTTCCATTATTATGGGCCATTTCATAAATCATTTACAATAAATGGGCCATGTTCCATAATTATGTTAGTTCACTGGAGGATAATGGGGCTGAAACATGTTATATTATCCCGCTCATTTTCTCCTCAAAGCTCTGGTTGGGTCTAGCCCGCATTTATTCGATTCCAGATATTCCAACACACTTGGCTCCGATGATCTCTGAACCTGATACCCTCTGGTAAACTAACATATGGAAAATCACAATTTTTCTTGAGTAAATGAACTATAAATGGCCATGTTCAATAGCTATTAGTCTACCAGAGGGTAAATTTGCTGAAACCCTGAAGGCCTTAGCCAGATTCAGAGATGAGTTTCATGGTCAGCAGAGCCGCTGATCGAATTGGATCGAAGGGGTCTGGGCGATGTCTGAATCACCATAGGTTGGTAGATCGGATTTTCAGCTAAGAGTTTGCCATGGACATTTACATACATTTACCCTCTGGTTATGACTAACAGTTTGCCATGGTATAGATGGCCCATTTAGTTCGATGGTTTACCGTTCTTAAAAATGCTGGATCTTTCCATGGCAAACTGTGAATGTCATAACCAGATGGTAGATATATTTCATGTACCCTCTGGTAATTTAACATAGCTATGGAAAATCATCATTTTTAATGGGAAAATCCACTATCAATGGCCATTTTCAATAGCTATTTTGACATAACCAGAGGGTATACCTGGCATTACATGGCTTAAACCATGGTCCATCAAGGCCAGTGGCTCGGCCATGGGCGGGTCATCCAACTTGGATCCAAGGTGGAGAGAAGCTGCCTGGCTTCAACAGCAAAAAGGTGCTGGAGGCAACCCGGAAGCGGTCATGGCTGCCTATGCCTGGGAAATCCCATGGGAAATCCATGGAAAAAGTGATAGTTAAATATAAATATAAGATTAAATGGATACTGTATGATAGATGGATTTAAGTATCCACTATAAGATGTATATAAATGGATACTGTATGATACTGCAACTAAATGTGGACGGTTCAAGCCATGTGACTGACTGAGCAGAGCGTATCAGAAAACGAGGATCTGATCTCTTTGGCGAAAGCCATGGGTGGAGTGGGCCCGTGCCACCTCAAAACGTTGGAGGTGGGCCACCTCAGATGTATAAGATCTTACAGGAACCCAAAGAAGATGGAAAGGCTGTTCCTTCTGAAACAGCAAATCCCTTTTCTGCCCTTTTTGGGGTAGCATAGCAGGGGAGTGGAAATGATTGCGAACAGTTAAGTTCTTTTGAGTTCCTGGATTGGCGTTGGCCCTGCAACCACTCGCTGCTAGTTTTCAGGCTGATCCCTACATCACCTTTTTCCGGGACCCATCAGCGGTAGCGCGCCCATCCTGAAATATTACATTTGCCTCGACCGGCTGTGTGCGTGCACATATGCTTGTAAGCCTGTGTAAATATCATGAATCAATTGCAACAGATACGTTATATAAGTATAAGTTAATATATATATATATATATGCGACATTTAATGAACCTTTGTATCAGCACACGCGCACACACACATATATATATTTAATTGCTGTACATAAACACTGTACGCTCTGCGTGTTTTTAGGGTTATTATGCAACCAGATCATAGATCGCCCCAGTTGACCTGCCCCAGGTGTCTCCTGCTCGAGTACAGGGGCTGCATCCAAACATCGTCCGGCTTCAGGGGAGTCCCATCATGGCCCGTGCTGACAAAGAGTGGTACCATGGCGGCCATGGCGATGGCCCGGGATGGCGTGGCATGAAAATGATGGGACCTAAGCGGCACAGATATACACAAATGGGTAATCATGGGTTAATGATCGATATGTGCCCATATAATATATATATATAATTCTATAATCAAATAATGTATAATCTATATATATATATACATATACATTTATGCAATGAAACAGCTTGGTGGTCTCCAAACGGTTTGAATATAATTTGTGTTGTTCTCCATCCCAAAGCGGGGACTATGCCATTCCTGTTGCCTAGGGGATGCGGTTATAAGTAGTGAAAGAAGAACAAAAAGGGTGGAACGTTGTGCTCTTTGGTCTCAAAAAAAGTGGGTACCCCTACCAAATAGCCTTTCCCCACTGGCAGCCTACAACCTAAAGGGGGCAGCCAGGTGTTAGGGGTTACCATATCCCAGTCATATCCCAGTCTTTATCATTCATTGTTTCACCATTGTTTCATCATGTTTTCAGCGAAGCTTGAGATCTCTCTACCATCTGGTAATTTAACATAGCTATTGAAAATTGCCTATTTAGTTCGTTGATTTACCTGTTCAATAGCTGGTGCTTTTCCAGTTCGCAAACTGTTAGTGTACCAGGGGGTATATCCACTCATATCCCAGTATTATCCCATCATTATCCCATTATCATTCCTATTAAACATCATGTTCATAGGATACTGGAAAAAAAAAAAACATTATCCCATTATTATCCCAGTATTATCCCAGTATTCTCATATCATCCCATCATTATCAGCTCGGAAAAGTCGAGCTGCGAGGCTGCCGATTTTACTGGATCCCACCGGCAAGATCCTGGATTTCCCCATGGTGATGCCACAGGTGGGTCGGCTGCGGTCGCTCCACAGGTGGGTGATGCCACGTGCCCCTTTGGCCTTTGGGGTGATCAACATATATCAAAATCATCACCCCAAATAAGCAAAGGATGATTTGATGTTTCATCTATCCAAAAAAAAGATTGGCACATGTTTTGTGGGTTGATTTTTGGGTTAGATCTTTGTTGGAACCTGTAGGTTTGACAATTGTTTGAGTAGTATTTTGGGATATTGGTTATAGATCATATATATATATATACATAATATATATATATTACATATATATATATGTATATATACTACACATATATATATATATTACATATATATATATATATACGTATATTATTATGTTATTGTTTATGTATTTTGTTCATGTAATTAACATTTATATATATGTACATGTACATGCATGTGTGTTTGTACGTTTTTTTGTTGATCTAATGTTGATCTGAATTATATTACATGTATCTTGCCTTTCAGTGCGCGTGAGGATATTGCCGTGGGCTTCCAAGGGTGGCAACCCCGTCCTCTACCATTAAATACCACTTATATGCTCACAAAAATGAATAGACCCAATGAACCAGGATTTATTTGGGTGGTATTTAATGTCAGGTGGAATATGGTGGAATGGATTTATGGTGAGACAACGGGTTTGTTCGAATATGTTTGGCAGACATGTTTGATCCTGATACAGATTTCCACCGCACGCCCATCATCATCATCATCATCATCATCAGCATCAGCATCAGCATCATCATCATCATCATCAACGAAAAATCATCAGTATCATTAAAATCAGCATCAACCATTATCATGTGTTTTCCCTATGTTCACCATTGTATTCCTTACATTTGCATGTTTTCAGCATATGTTTCACCGGCTTCATCCCTGACTAAACCCACAGCGCAGGCACCAGCTCGTGCCGCCAAGGGCGTTGTGCAGGTCTCTCGAGTTGGAGATGGCGCTGGAGAAAGTTGGGTAAATTACAGGGAAGTCGCCACGATCTCACCATTGTTTTCTATATAATATACTGTATACACATATATATATATATATAAGTATTCAGAGAGATAGTGTATATATATATATATCTGTGTGTGTGTGTGCAATTCTATGTATAGTATATATAGGTATATATGGCCATCCCCCAAATCATAGAAAACTCAAAACTCCTTTATCCCTATGCTGCTCTACTTTTCCTTGTTAATCTGTTTGGGAGTTCTCCAGGCACCGCTGCCGAGCGCGGGACGCAGAAGACGTGGCGCGGCAGTTGAGGTGTCGACCCCCGAGATGTTCCAGTGACGCGTTACTGCCGCGTTGCGTTGCGGTTGCTGGGCGATGACGTGGTGGCTGGGATGGTTGGTTTATGTTGAGTTTATATATAGAAACCCTATGAATAATGTGGGTAAAACATGGTAAAACAATGCCAGAAACCCACATATTTGGGGGATGGTTTATGATTCTATATTTACCAACATCACAAACTCGATGGACATTGAAGAATGGATGTTTTTTTTGCTCTATATGAAGAATGGATATTGACATATTTTTACCTAAAAACATGTTTCAGGATGGATTATTAGATGACCTGACTGAGTGATTGATGATTCGATGACCTGATTGAGTTAGTATTTTGACTCATTTTCTATCGGAGGTTAGTGATATATCAATGGGGAATTGAACAGGGATGCTAATTGTTCCTTGTTTTTTCATGAAGATATAAACCGGAAGATGATGATATACTGTAATCATTCATTTTTTCTCAGGTAGAAACCACCAGTGTTTCTTTGAAACTGCAACGATCAAATGCTCAAATCTATTTTTTTGGGGGCTGGCTAAGAACTTCAAAATGGAGTTGCCCATGGTGGCGAGGTTTTTTTCTGCCTTTATGGCAACCCCAGTTCTTGAACAATCGTACAAGTAAGTTAAGATACGTTGGATAAATATCATCAGCAACATCCCAGTATGTCGTTTTTTTTTGGTGAAATCAAACCAGATCACGGTATCATCATCCGATAATCTGTCATATCATCCATTGATCCATTCTCCTCATTAATAAAAAATACCCCATAGAAAGGTGAATTGGAACAACCCAAGGTATACATACCATCAAAGGATGATTCGCATTGGTCCAAATGTGTATAGTATGTTTCCGGGAAAATCTCACCACTGCCCCCACATTGCATAAAACCTGAGGAATTTCGGAACTCCAAAAAAGAAAAGTAAACCGCCCAAAACAAAAAGGTTTCTCGATTTGCAGGTGTTTTCCTAGTTGTTTTAGGTTCTGCAGACATATTTGTTGCATTTGTTCACTAATTAATGCCAAAAACATGCAGCTCAAACAAAGTCCTATAGGAACCAAGACCAAATTAGTAGGCCGAAGTAGTATCTAGGTGTTTCGGATAGTATAGAATCAATCGACATAGGTCAACTCCAAAAACTCCATAATTTTCCTTGGACTTGGGGGCCGAGGTTGTTCCTAAATGGTTTGGATTGTTTTTCGATAAAAATCCTTGAAGGACGCGATAGAATCTTTCCTAGCCTGTTCCTGGGAAGGTTATCTTAATCCACTGTCTTTCGAGAAAAACACGATGTCCATACCCTTTAGTAATTTAAGATAGCTATGGTTCCGATGACCCATGTCGTGATTTACCAATACTGTCCAAAACCAATTTAGTTCAAAGATTTACCAAACATTACTATTATTTTATTTTAATTGTATATTCAATCGCTATGTAACAATTTAAAAGATGATTCTCAACCCCAACTGTTGCGCTCAGGTTTTTTGCGGCGCTCTGCCGCACGAGGCGAGGCGGCGATGTTCGATGATTTTCTCATGATGCCGTGCTGGGTTTGTGTTTGAACATGGGCACATACACACTGCATATACAATGTGTATATACTGTGTATATCTATATATACACAAACATATGTATATATATATATACAAATACATACATACACATTTGTATAAAAACAATTATCAGAATATATTACATTAAAACATTGTGATTTTTTAAAAATAGGATACAATCAATGCAGACAATTGATCACAATTGCCATTTATACGCATATAATCCCTGCGAACCAAAGACCTCGTTAAACTTGATCGTTTCAATGAACATGTTTTACTTGTAAAAGAACGTACTTTACTTGAGCTAATTTTTACCAAAGCTCCGTTGATGCAGTGGACAAATGCGTTTTATCGACAAATCACTGCAAATCATTCTCCCAACTGGTTGAGTTCCAGGGCTATTGGTATCAATTTATTTCAATTTCATTGTTTGCAATCGCCCTTTACAGCTGCCCACAGCCCGTGAGCGTCCCGTCAACAACCCGAAACAAGCCGTGAAACACCCTTGAACCATCCGTGAACGACCCGTGAAACACCCGTGAACCACCCGGGAACCACCCGTGAACCACCCGTGAAGCACCCGTGAACCACCCGTGAACCACCCATGAGACCAGTGTGTTAGAGACACAGAAAACTGGGTTAGAGACCCGAAAAACTGATTTTGTACCGTGAGCGACCCGTGAAACACCCGTGAAGCACCCGTGAAGCATCCGTGAAGCACCCGTGAATGATCCGGGGACGCTCAATGAACATGCATTAACGGGCAAATGGTTTCCATCTTTTTGCAGGTTCCCAATATCAAATGCAGTTTGTCATAGCACTATATATGCATGTCTCTATGAACCAAGTCTCTCAAGATAGATTCAAAACAGTGATGTTGCTGAAGTGTTGACAGCAAGTGGTTAGAAGGATTTAGAAATGTGATCGGAGAGCGCGATTTCAAATGATCAAGTTAAATTTGTTCTTAACCAATGTGGACAGGTTAAACTGGTCTTTCGGGTTTGTAGGGAATATATATATATATACATACGTACGTATGTACATAAGGGGAATATTCCATCGACCCAACTAACATAGACCCTGCCAAATAGAGAGCGGGATACATTCCTCTAAAAATTGGTCATTCGCAGGGTCTTTGTTAGTTTGGGGGATGATCACTGTCCGACCTCACAGGCAAGGCTGGCCCAGATAGCTACATGGTAAATATGCCATACATGGAGGATTTGTGTCCTACATTAGTACATTCCCTGAAAATAAACACTGCCAATGGGAATAATTATGTGTATATATATATACATATATATATATGTGTGTGTGTGTTTATTTTTTGTAGGTTGTTTCTATAGTATATAGGTTGTGTTTGTAGATTGACTATTGCAATTGACCATTGCCAGACGAAAATTGCGGTGGCACCTGTGCCCTCCTTTGCCCCAGCCCCTTGGATCATGTCAGGGAACCTCGCAGCACCTGAGCATGAACGTGTACTCTATATAAGGGAGTATAGTGCTTCAAGACTAGGACGGACAACGTTGGAGAAATGTTGGATGGTTGAATTTCATGTGTTGGAAGTGATTGAGCCATTGAGGCAAACTGTAGCTCTGGGGACTTAAAATCTTAATAGCCAATAGCCAGGATGCCGCAGGATGCCTGGTTTTTGACCTCCCAAAGATGCCAAGTCATCAAGAGTACCTGCATGGGCCAGCATGGGTCAACATTGGAGTACTATTGGGCCCACGTCCCCGCAGCTCAAAAACCAATGGCGTGTACGTTCTACACGCACCAATGGCGTCTGATCATGGCGATAGAAAGAGCCCAAGGAGGACATAGTTTGACAATGGCAGTCACAGGCTTCGTGCCGAATTTCACCATTGTCATTTTGCAGTTAGAGCTTGGTTCGCCACGATGCAATCATGTGCAGTAATTGCTGTCTATGTAGTCAGGAAAGGTCAAGACCAATTCCTAAGTTGAACACTCGGTTAAAACTCCCCAACTTGTGGTAATTTACGAGAATCTGATAGAATTTACCTAATTTCTGAATCTTTCTGATAATGAATTCGATGCTATTGATGCTTCAACCCCAGGTCTCCAAGTGCACTAACTCAGCACCGAAAACAAATTGCCATGTGCATCTGCCATGGCATCGCCGGGCTTTCCATCGCCCCCCAGTGTCGCAGGCGCGCAGTATTCAGGGGATGCAGTGCAAAGAAGTGTGTTGAACCTCAAAAACCATCCCATTACATCTTTTTGGCCACAGAAGTGGGAAATTTGGAAAATGTGTGTGTGAACCATGTTCCAAACATGTTGAACAACAGTGTTTTGGGTTGTTGGTGGCCTTTATCCCAATGGTTGCTGCTTATAGATCCCATTTTAAATGTGTTTTCTCCCTAGGCCCTAGCTGGATGATAGGAAGTTAGGCCAGTGGATGGGTGAACCCGGATCGCAATCATGGGATGCAAGGAAGAATGGGGACCGAAAGTGCGTGGGAATCCGAGAGCGGTTTAATAGTGGTTTAATATCTTAGATCTTCTATTCTGGATCTCCCTGGTGGCGATGGAGAGAGAGAGAGAGAGAGATCTTCTATTCTGAAAAGATCTGGACATGTTGTAGAGGTGCGAAGAACAGCACGCCAATGAAACAGCCCAACGAAATGATGGGGATACATGTACCGATATTTTGCAGCCCATATGCGTGTGCCCAAGCTAGAGGGTATACACTACCTGCATGATGAGGGAATAGGTCCTATGGCATCAGATGTTGCAGGGATTTGTGGAACTCGTGCGCCAATGCACATGCGGACGTGGCCACATGCAGATGCGATATTCCAACTTCAGATCAGGAATAGAACGTCAGAGCACGGAGGATTTGTAACCACTACTGATAGGTTCATTAGAAACTGGTGGGTGGTTTCAAGTATCTTCAATTTCCGTCTCTGCCTGCAATGATGACCTCCCTGTGAACTGGAAGAGGGCTCAGCCGGGCTCAGCCTCGAAAAGTGTGCAGGAAATGGACATACTTGCCTGTGAACAAAATGGTTTCCGGTTACAGCAATAATGAATCGACCCATTGAAACTGCAAATCGGTATCTCATGGAAAGACAAAACTCATGTTCCCCGATGTTTTGGCCAGAAAGTGGGAGAATTTGAGGCCCAAAAAACATCCCTTATCGGCCTTTTAAAACATGTGATTTGATTCCTGACCTTGCAGTGAAGCTTGCAGGAAGGCCCCGGCTGCCCCTGATGGCCATCTATGATCCATTGATTTGTCGGATGCCTTCAGGTGCGCTGAGCAAATGCATCACCTCACCGCAATGGCTGTGTGTTTTTTGACCGTAAAAACATGGCGGGGTTCCATAAATGGCGGTACCCCCAAATGGATGGTTCATAATGGAAAATAGCATTAAAATTTGATGATTTGGGTGTGTACCCCTATTTCAGGAAACCTCCACATGTTTTTTCTGACAATTGTTGCTTCAAGCACTTTTCCTGGTAATCGAGCGGCAGCATGTTTGCCGTGGTGACAATCATACAGTACCAACTTTGAGCCAATTGACTCCTTTGGGGGAAGTCAGGTTGATGAGTGTTGATGATTGGGTGGATTGAGCCGAATAGTTTGGTTCATTTTGGATGATGAGCCGAAAACGATTTCTCGTTTTGGATGATTTTGGATAAGACTTGGTGAGATTTGGAGAGGGGTCCGGGACATAGAAAATACCCTTATAGAAAATATTCCCAACATCCCCATGGACCCTGAGAATCACGATTTTCCAGATGATTTGTTGGTCGAAGCCAGGGTCTACGTTAATTTTTGGTGGTAGCAACTCTGAAAATGATACAAAACCTACTGCAATAGTTACAGTTTACAGTTGTAGATATTTACCCTTTGGTAAACTAACATAACTATAGAAAATCACCATGTTTAATGGGAAAATCCACTATAACTGGCCATTTTCAATAGCTATTTTGACATGGAGGCTTGCTACAATTCGTTGATTTGGTGGGATGGTCTCGGATCCTTTGGACAAGCTTCCAGCCCTGCGGCCCTGTGCAGGTCGGAGCCCGGGTTTCATGGCCGCAGCCGCCACGCTGGCTGTGTCCTTCCAGAAACATGCAGCTGGGTGAAGGAGGACCAGGGAAAATCAGGGATTTTATCCATGAAACCTGGGGAGCAATTTATCAGGGCTTCATTTTTCTGGGTAATTTATCAGAAACCGGATAAATTGATACTTTTAATGGTAGTTTCATTGTTTGACCTTTTTAGTGGATTCATGAAGATTGAGGATTCAAGGTGGAGGATTTTATCAGAAACCTGGAGCTTCAGCCAACGTCATAGATGGGGATTTCACCAGAGGGTTGGCAGCCAGAACCAACAAGAAATTGGATTTAAGGGCCATGTCTCCATGCACAAATTGACACACACACAGACAACGGGCGCAAGATAGTCGAGGATACGTCGAAACCTTGTCGTGGGGTACAATCTGTTCAATTAGTCGTGGCTACGCCGCCCTCTCTATATATAATTATATAATATATATATATATACATTATATATATACACAGTATATACATATCATACAATAGAAGGTGGTTTGTTACCAACATAACGGCCGACGACTACCAAAAAAAAGGATGTGCCATTGGTCTCTGTCCGCCGAGGCTGGACGAAGTGGACGTCCAGTAAACCAGTCCAGCCCGCTAAGGCTGGAGATCGCCACGGGTGATTCATCAGTTCAATCAGTTCCCTTGAGAAGGTTCATGAAGATGATTTCCCAACACCAAAAATGGGATGAGGATTCACAGATTTATAAATCACTAGAATGATAATATCGATATCCAATAAGATACATGATGACTCCCAAATTTACAAACTACTAATGATGATATCCAATTACAGCAACTGATAAGATTGATATGGAATTATATATAATTATAATATATACAGTAATTCTTGGGAGGCTTATCAGTTGGCCCAAGCAAATCACCATCCGAGACTGTCCAGCTTCAGGAAGGCGCACTCGCACGATGGAAGCCTCGAAAACGCTTCCGAACGGGCGCCGGACTGGTCCGGGGCTCTGCGATGCGCCGTGTTTCGCGCATCGCCCGTGTTTCGCAAGTCATGGGGGAGAATCACCAACCTGAAACCATGAAAAAACACTGTAGGTAATTACAACCTACAAATGGTATATAATTGGAAGAATGGGAAAAATGAGGATGTGAACGAACACTGTTTTCGGAACATCTTTTTTTTTGTTATTTTAGTCTACTTGGGATGATCAAAGAGTTTTTTCTAGCTTTTGGGGCTGAAAGAAACAACAAATGCTAGTAAATGGATGCTTAAATGGATGTTCATCCACAAAGGTATCCAAATGCGGCATTTAATATAGGAATTGGTTGATCCTTATCGTGGTCATCTTGGGGGAAGATCAAATACCTATGGAGGAAATCCAATTTGTTCTAATCCATAAAACATATAAAACTGATTGAGACCCCCGGTAATCCATTGAATTATAAACCAACATTTTTCTCCTCTTGATATCAACCAATGTCGTTGGTTTCATGCCAATCCCTATGTCTCCAACCACCTTCTGGTTGTGTATTTGGGCTGGTTTGGCTGGGGTCTAAACACCTTCTCAGATGGCATTTGGAGCACTATAATAATATATAATAAGATCCATGATGCACCAACAGACATCCTCATTCCAAATGGTTGGTTTCATGCCTATAGATATCCCAATCATTATGAAAATACCCTCTGGTAAACTAACATAACTATGGAAAATCACCATTTTTCATGGGTAAATCCACTATAAATGGCAATGTTCAATAGCTATGTTAGTTTACCAGAGGGTAATCCCCAGAAAATAACCCAATTTTTCAGAAACTTCATGGCAGATCAGGTCCTGGAAGATCCCAAGGGTTCAGATCTTGGCTTTGTTGCTCTTGGCCTGCGTGGCCAATCAAGCTTGCCGGGAGCCACAGGAAAAAACATGGGGGGGGGGATGAACAAAATGGGACCTGAACAAGCAAAAAAATGTAGGATGTGATGAACAATAGGAAAAAAAAGGGATCTAACTGATTTGACCATAGTAAATATTCAGGATTTAAGTATCAAAGATTGGGACTTAGCCAGACCATGCCAGACAAAAACTAGACATGCGTTCTGGCAGACACCAGAAGTGAGCGCACCTGTGGAAAATGCAGGCACCAATCTCAGCATGGCAGATGAAAGCAGATGATCAGAAAAAGTCAGTAGCCCATTGCACAAAAGGTTGAAAGGGTGGTTCTTGCGACCTGATTGAATGCTTTGACACTTACATTTGTGCCCCATGCATCCCAATTTGCATTATTTTTTGGGTGGTGTCTCTACTATTGCCCGCGCTTATCCAAACATTTTTCTTCAAGCGCTCAGCGCGCGGTGTTCAGCAGGGTGGGTCGACCATTTTCCGCCCCCAGGTCGCGCCTTGCCGTTTTACTTGGTGGATTTCGGTGACCCCACCCAGGTGGCACTGCTGAACAGTTTCGCTTGGTCCAAAAACGTAAATGGCTAAGGAAAGGGTGGTGTCATCGTTTTTTCTGTTGTGAACTTGTCATATCGGAAATATATTTGACATTACTTGACCATCTTTATCTTTGAAGATTGTTCCAAGGGAACAATATGTTTGAGAGGGATTGAAGCCACAAACCACCGACTTTCATGCAGAGTTTCCGGACTGCCTGTCATCTGGTCATGATTTGTCTGCTCAGATTTTGACACTGAGGTGCCTAGATGAATTGACCAAACAAAAAGTCCTGTAGCGTGTCATTCAATCATGCCTGCTGGTCACTTAAAAGTATTGACCAAAAAAATCGAGGCAGTGTACCTTTGAAGGACAAATTTTGATTCATTTGTCCAACATATTTGGCTAAATCGATAAGGGTCGCTTGAAACCTGCGCCTCTGAGGTTCCCTGATGTTCCCTGTAAACAATAGGATCATAGGCAGAACTTTGTCCATGGCATGTTCCATTTACCCTCTGGCAAACATACAAAAAACTTTGGAACATCACAATGTTTAATGAAAAACTTTGGAACATCACCATGTTTAATGAAAAAACTTTGGAACATCACCATGTTTCATGGACAAACATCAACTATAAATGATACAAATGGGCCTTTTTGAATAGCTATAGCAGCTATGTTTACTTCACCATCGTCGCAGGCGGGGCGAGCAATGAATCAGGCCATTGGGCGCAAGGTAAGCTGGTTGGTGGTGACTGGAACAGCCATAATGGTGGTTAATAATGGTTAATAATGGTTAAAACCACCAACCAAATATCTATGGTAATATGATATTTCTATGGTTAATGATGGTTAATAATGGTTAATAATGGTTAATGAGATATACTGGTTGGTGGTTTGGAACCATGGAATTTTATGACTTTCCATATGTTGGGAAGGTCATAAACCCAACTGACGAACTCCATCATTTTTCAGAGGGGTAGGTCCGTCAACCACCAACCAGTAAGTGAGTTATCATGAGTTATCCATGAATGAAGTGCACCAAAGGGTTTTCAAAGGAGCTGCGAACATTTCAAGTGAGACAGAGATAAAGAGATGGAGAGATAAATAGCTCGCTAGATAACCAGACAGATATATGATTAGGGCATCTCATCCCATATGCTCCATGTATGGTATATTTACCTACATTTGGGTGATTTTTAGGGTAAATGTTGGTAAATATTCCATACATGGAGCATATGGGCATGTTAGTCCATCCAACTGTTTTGTTCTATGTTCAAAACTGAGGCCCCCAATGAGACTTTCATACTTGGAACATCTTGGAACAACCTTCCAAACCACCAAACCATTTGTTTCAAGTTTCATCATGCAAAGTCTGTATGGCTTCTTTTCTTCGTCATCTAAAATCTATACTGATATAATACATATATATATATATTAGTTTGATGCAATATAATATAATATAATATATTATAGTAAAATAAAATTACGTTCCTTTCTTTCCAAGCATTATATCATACTTTGTGGGGATATTCCCTTACATAGGCCTAAAGTATAGGCCTTATATATGGTTGGTACCTCCAATCGTTCTCGGATCCAGGACTTGAGTTTCACCTCGGCGGACTACGGCTTCTTCGCCACTCTGGGCTTCACCGTGCCGTTGCGTGGCGTTTTTACCCGTGCCGTCAAGGGTGACACGATGGTGACACCCCCTTGGGATATTGGAAATATATTGGAAATCATGATGGGATACTGGGATAATGATGGGATAATGATGTTTAATAGGGATGATAATGGGATTTATATGGGATTTACCATAAACAATGGGGGTAAAGCAGTAGCAAACCAGCCCCAAGTTTACCATACGTGGTTGGTATAACGGTATAACTAACCATCAAAATATGGGTGGTTTACTATTGTTTTACCATTACCTGGTTGGTGGTTTGGAATATTGTTTAATGACTTTCCATATATTGGGAATGTCATAATCCCAACTGGCTTTCATATTTTTCAGAGGGGTAGGCCAACCACCAACCAGTAATGTACTAATCCGGTGTTGACAATGCAGCATCATGCAGTTTTTACCCCTATTCATATCTAGTGTTTCATGTTTCAATAGAAATAAGTGAATGTTAACCCCACAAAATCCAAAACTATTTTTGTGATATTGTTATGATTATAGGAAAATTTTGCAGTACTGTGGCATCCCCTTTTGAACCGCGACGAATGGCTGGGAATTAGCCAGCAAACATGAGGATAATAGCATGATCTATAGCCCACACATGAAACCCCTGGTCGAAATACAATGGTGTTGCCAGGATGGAGGGTGATGAGATCAGTACACTCTGGAATTTTCTCGGATATTCTGTCAACATATGCAGATACATCATTCTCACAGATGGGTAAGTGCCACAGGTCCATGCTTCATGGCAAGAAATCGGATGAGTTTGGGGATCATCCAAGGTTTACGGTGGCTTCTCTGTGGGCGCCTGGGCTGCACCTATGACAAACACAAAACCATAAACCGTACGTTCCAATTGATAGGTAGGTTCTTCGTCAACAAATATTACAATATATTACATCCCAACTTATTTATGGGGGTTATGACGCCGTGGATAAATTACACAGTATTCTACCAGTTGTATCCAGTTGTATTGATCAAGTCCCTGTGTTTGATGCTTAAATTTGAAATCATGGTAAATCATGTTTATAGTTGTAATCCTTACTTTTGATGGTATGTGTTTTCTTGCGTTGTCAGTTTCAATCGGTTGGCTTAAGGGAACATGTTCAGTTATTTGCCCATTCTTTCATGGGAAAATCGGTATTTCACCAGCAATCCATTGGGAAGAATGGATGTTTCCTGGATGTTTCTGCAGATTTTCCTGGGAAAAACCAATGGAAACCTTTCTGCTGGATGTTTCTCCAGATTTTCCCAGCAATCCATGGGTTTTTCGCTAGCCTTGACCCAGCATCCAGCGCGCCCTCGATTCCAAGGCTGGAGTCACTGCAGATCGCATGGACCGCTTTCGCTTGACGGCGGCGGCGGGCTTTGGGTGGTTGGGAGCCCTTAAAAAGCCCGGCTGGGCCATTGGGGATTCAATTATTCATGTTAGTAAAACAAGAATTGGGGATGATTTATTGGGGATGATTTATTGGGGATAATTTCAATATCATTCTATTTATAAAATTTATATCATCCCAATTTCACCATAAATAGATATAAATAGGTGGTATACACCATTCTCAATAGTGGATGAATACCTGATTAATGTGCGTAAAACAATGCCATTTGCAGCATCCCCCAGTCATCACCATGTTGAATTGAATTCTAAAACAGGTGTTTTTTTTAAGATTATAAAAAAGATTCGTAGAAACCATATTCCTGTTTATGACATTCTGATTGGTGGTTTGGAACATGTTTTTTCCATATATTTGGAATGATAATCCCAACTGACTTTCATATTTTTCAAGATGGTTAAAACCACCAACCAGCATTGTTTTACCCACATTGGGATGGGATTTCTTTGGGGATCCCAAGTAATGCCAAGCCATGGATCCCATGGAGCGAAGGAACAGATTTTTCCCCCTCGTAAACATACGGTAAACACTATGGTCACTATGGAGAATCAGCATGTTGAGTGGGTAAATTAACTATTTTCTATGGTTTATTATATGGAAAAACCTAGTAGAATGGATAATCACCGAAGTAAATGGGCCATGTTCAATAGCTATGTTAGTTTACCAGAGGGCACCAAGAAAGTTATCCTTCCAACCATCATCCGAGTCTTGGCTTTATTGAGCTGGTGCATTTTCGAGATTCATGAAGAAGAATCCATAAGAATCCCATTTTGGCTCTCCAAACTGTATGGTGTTGAGATGTTGGGTTTTTTGGGATTACATTCATTTTTACTCACCAAGTAATGCCATAAAGTATGTATTACTTTTCGCACTAATCCACACTATGGGTCACCATTGTTTTTTTCCACGGTACCAGTGGTACCATTCTCTATTAATGAACCAAAATGAGTCCTACTTGCATCTCCCGACCCTACGACTATTATTCCCTATCAAGTTTCCCATGACCATCATTCAGTCATCCTGTCAACCGCATTGTAGTGCGAAACTAGCATTGTGATTCAGAGGTTTATATGGCTTAACTACAATGCAACAACACATAACAACACTATTCCGTACTATTCCCATTATATAATGTGTTTCAAAAAAAAAGGTTATGAACTTCCAACGTTGGAAGGTTCATACCACCTATGGTGATGGCTTGGGGACGGTTTATGACTTTGGCCGTACCACAATACCATGGTTTTAATGGTAAAATTCTCATGGTTCCGGTGATGTTCCCAACACAACTCCAATGAGATCATGATTTCCCCATGGGTTTTCCCACGTTTTCCTGTATACATTCCCATTAAACAGGGAAAGCATTGGGAAGGCCCTATATTTCCCTTATAAATCCCATACAAATCCCATTATCATCCCTATGAAACATCATGATTTCCAATATATTTCCCATATAAATCCCATACTTCCCATGCTTTCCCATAGATTGCCCCTTGAAGACCGGAGTCCTCCGAGGTCCTTGTGCACTGCCGGTATGGCCTTGTGCAGTTCCTTCGGCGGCGTCCTATTGCTGCGCATGCTGCTGGGGCTCAGCCAGGTGGACCATGGGAGAAAGTCAGGATTTATATGGGATTTATTAAGGAAAAGCATGGGAAAACCATGGGAAAACGTGGGAAAACCATGGGAAAACAATGAGAATATATGGGAAAACGTGGGAAAACAATGGGAATATATGGGTTAAAAAAACCGACAATCATGCCTGAAATCGTGATTGAATGTGACTTGTCACGGTGAAAACTGGCTGAGTGCTGAGTAGTTGGTTAATGGGTGACATCTATTGACTATTTTTGAACCTGAAATTCAAGGTTTCAGATTTGTGATGTGTGGATTTGCATTTTCATAGCTTGGGTTCCATAATGCAGTTCTGGAGAGGATGTTGTCGCGCATGTTCACGACCAATTCTGTGTTTTTTCCTGGGAAACTCGTGAAAAAGCAAACCGCCAGCCCCCAAACCACCAACAGACCATCTGCTGATGTCCACTGGTTTTTGTAAATTAAATTCTCAAGGTTATTTTTATAATGTAGCAGCTTCTATTCTTGGTAAGAATCGGCAATGAATACCCACACAATTTGAATCATTTGTTTGGAAGAAATTATATAGTGTTGGTAAAGCAGTTGCAAACCAGCCCCAAGTTTACCATAAATGGTTGGTATAACGGTATAACTAACCATCAAAATATGGGTAGTTTACTATTGTTTTACCATTATCTGGTTGGTGGTTTGGAACATTTTTTTTACGTTTCACTTAGTTGGGAAATAATAATCCCAACTGACTTTCATATTCAAAGGGGTAGGTCAACCACCAACCAGATAAGTACTTACAACACCCATTTATGGAATTGGAGTGTATAATCCAATTCATAACCAGTTATAACATGTTATAACCAATAAATGACCATAACTGTATGATATTGGGATATTGAATAACCACATATTAAGTTGTTTCTCCAAAGCCAGTTGGATGTTGTGCGATGGCTTCAACCAGCGTTTCTCCACGGCTCCGGAGCTCCGCGCTCCGCTCCGCCAGGCAGCCACGAATCCAGCAGCGCTCTCGTTGATCGCAGAGCTCTTCCCAGATGCAGATCGTTTGGCATATGGGTATGGGTCAATACCTATAGATACCATTTTTAGTGGGATGAACATCCATAAATCCCAGCTATTTTGGGTGAACAAAAGGTACCAGGGTTTTGACCCATCCCCATATCGTTGGAAAATGCCATGGGAATGTCATCGGGATCTACCCGGCCTGGTAAAATTGGTAAACGTTAACACAAAACTATGGAAAGATCCAGCATTTTTCATGGGTAAACTCACTATAAATGGGCCATTTTCAATAGTTATGTTAAATTACCAGAGGGTATGTTTTTTTCATTGGTTTATTCTGATTGAATCATAGATCATTGGTGATTTACCATTGATTTACCATTTATGTTGGTAAAACAATGCCATTTGCACCATCCCCCAGTCATCATTTTTATAGGTGGCATAAGAAATTCCAAAATCTATGGTTTGTGGCATTGTTTTACCCACATTTATATGATTAACGTTATGTTATATGGGATACATTTATGGTACCTGTGGACTATGGGATAATCCAACTATAATGCGATAGCTACTGATAGTATAATTGACATAATGGGATTATCAAACTTTAGAACTTTAAAATCAGTCATATAATGCTATAGAACCTTATGCATAGCTATTGATAGTATACTGATTATCAAACTTTAAAGGCTTATATGACTATCCAGGAATGCAGGGAGCTGTTCTGAGCTATGGTTTTTTTTCCACATGTCACATGTCCTATGAGCTATGGGGAGCGAGTTGGAGCTACGCATTCATTGAGTTTCCACTTTCCACTCGGGATACTTGGGGATTCACCCTAAAAGAACGCCAATCCTGTTGGATTGGTAGAATAACTCTGGTCGTGGGTGATGTTTTGGAAGGGAAACACGGTGTTTTTTTCATGGGTAAAACAATAATAATCCATCCCTCAGATCACCTATTGTAAAGGTGGTATGAACCATTCCCAAGTGGGGGGGTTTATGGCATTGTTTTACCCACACAAATGGTTTTGAACCCTTCCAATTTCAAAACCTGTGAGTTGGCTTTTTCATTGTTTCCCCGGGAGGTGGGGAAACCGACAATTGCCAGAGAATTCCTTCTCATCCAAAATTGGTTCTTATCAATGGGAATCTTCCATCATAGCGGAAATCAACATTTTTCATCAGTAAATCATCAAACTAAACAGGCCATCCCATAGTAATCTGTTAGTTTACTGGAAGGTAAATCCCCATAAAAGACAAGTAATCAACCATTATTTGTCAACCATATCACCGTTTTGTTGCCAAGAAAACATTGCTACTTGGTTGCATATCCCATTATATCTCTCCTATTCCCATGTTAACCCTTCGATCAATGGGAAATTCAGGACCCTAAAATGAAGGTACTGTACCACATATGAACCGGGGGCAAATCCCCTTAGCCTCAAAAAATGTGGTGCCTCCAATATTTCTCGGTACCTGAAATGGCCATGCCCCATTTGAATCAAGTCGGATTCATATCAACTCTCAATCACCATTTTGGTTGGTTAGAAAACATGTTATTTCCCACATGTTTAAAGGTACAAGGTGGTGCTCCCCCATGCTTGTTGGTTTTGACCATCAATGCTTTAGATATATATGCATCATAAACCCCAGTGAAATTGGAGTTAGGTTCACCAACTTAGCTAACGAACGGGGCACCGCCTAGTTATTTGGAGTTATTTGCTGGCCATGTTTGTTGGGATATATTTGTGTTTCACTATGGTCAAACATGTCCGCTTACAGCCGGACTGCACTTCCAAGTGCGCCCACTAGTCATTTGTTACATGGCTATGGACAATGACATCAATAACCATATTTCATCACCATGAAGATCCCATTAGAATCCCATTTAACCCTAAGAATTCCAAATCATTCTCCTTTTCAAATTCCATTTACCCTCTGGTAAACTAACACTTTGCTATGGAAAATCACCATTTTGAACAGGTAAATCAACAAACTATGGGCCATTTTCAATAGCTTTCTGTTCGTTCACCCTAGGGATTTTCCCCTCTGAAAATCCCATTCGAATCCCCGAAGATCGAGGCGCGGGCGACGGCCAACGCCATCTTCGGTCTGGGGATTTACCTGGGCGGCGCTATGGCCTCTCTGGGGGCCTTTATCGATGAACAGGACGACCAAAAACAGCCCCGGTTTTGATGAGATATCCCACGGAAAAAATAAGGAGCTTGGAATATGGGAACATCATGGAAAAATGGAGGGGAAAATGAGGAACATCGACTTTTTTCGAATGGAGGTTTTAATCGGAACATCTTCGAACTTGGGATTTTCCAGCCATGTTTGAGGACACCAGAGGGTATTTTGTATATTTTGCGATCAGTGATCCATGCCATTTTGCCCTGGTATCTTGAGATTGGTTGTTTGTTGTTTTTTAAACATTGCAGTAAAGAATGTTAAGCAATGATTGTTTAATCAAAGACATTGATTGTTGTTTATTACATGCTGTTTTCTTGTTTAAACATTGCCTGCTGTTTTTGATCATTTAGCACTTTCATGGTTTTTAGTCAAAAGCGGGCAAAACTTCGAGGTTAGGACAGGGGTTATATCACCTGTGTTGGGGATATGGGATGCCCCCTGGTATCTTAAGCCACCCCCGTTTTGGTGGTTGATATCCCTAGTACCCTCTGGTAAACTAACATAGCTATTAGTGAGTTTTCCCATTAAAAATGGTGATGTTCCATAGCAAACTGTTAGTTTACCAGAGGGTATCCCAACGTTTTACTGCTGAATTTCTCCAACGCAACGTTAGTCGAGCCTCCATACATAACCCACCGAAATTTGAACAAACATTTGGCCGGGAATGAACAGACCACCAAGGGTTTGAGAATCAAACCATGTTCCTATTTATCAACCCCAATTGTTGATGGTTTTACTATCATTATACCATAGTTTCCCATCGTTCAGATTCACAGGAGGGCTGGCGATCAGCTTGCTTGATCTTCGGCGTTGCTAGTGGCTTGCATCAAAAAGCTTCTGGCCTTAGGAAGTGCGTCCGAGAAATCGTAAATGGATTTCTTGGCATATGAAATACCACAGTCAGATTTGTGGGTTGGATTGATGGGTTAGATTGATGGGTTATCCATGGGTTAATACCACGTACTGCCTGGGATGCACATCCGAGTGGGGAAAGTAGGAAAATAAGTTTCTTTATATATATATATATAAATGTGATATAAGATACATGTTACTTAAAGATCTGTGTAGCACTGTGGTATCGGTGTTTCCGATGATCCTCATGGCTTGTCACTGCAAAAAAATGTGCCGAAGAGCCAGTGGTGCCCACAGTAAGGAAACATGTTCAACCGGAAACCCCTAGGTATCCCTAGGTAAAACCATGGTAAAACCATGGTGTCCTAGAATTTTCCCTCATTATCCCAGGGAATATGCTTCTTGTGTCATGCCTCCAGTTCTTTTGACAGTTGTTAGAGGATGTTACAGGTCGCTGCTGCCAGAAAGCTAGCCTTCTTCCCAGTTTGAAGTTGACATGTTCCAGATATATTCCTAGATAGACATACCGTGCCAAATAAATCCAAATAATTAAGATAATCACCCCCAAGTTGTGGATGGTAATTCATTGGGTTTACCACATTGATGATTGGCTTATGTCCTGGCTCCCAATCATCTACAAGTTTGATCAATTGCCGCAGCTTTTTGTGAAAGGCCTCGCGGCATCGTTACCTGCTCTCAGCAAACATGATGAGAAGCAAGCGGTGCGCCAGGGTTTGCCATGTCTTGGGGTGCGGGATGCGTCAGTCAAGTTGTTTGACGGGGTACAACCCAACTGATCCCACTGATGAATTCGAGGGGCCTCTTCCTGGAAACCAGCACATGGATTTGTTTCACCGACACGCTAGGAACTTCCGCAGCGATGACCTATGTCCACTGCCAAACATCTTGTCAAAGGGAACATAGTGACAACACACTTACAACTCAAGCACGGGACGCCATCTTGGCTCAAGACCCCCTGCGTGAGGAAAATAGTGCGACTGCTGCTTGTCATGGCAACTGGACCCGGAAACTGCCAGTAAGCAAGGTACCACTTAGAATAGAACATCCAGAACAAGGATTCATTTGTTCACAGGTTATCAGCCGTAGAGCTCACTTCTCCCGCCGGGAGAGTGGTGCCTGCGTGCTGGTAGCCGGGCCGTCTGAGCAATTGATTGAGGACGCAAAGGACCAATCAGCTCATCGTCGCAAAGATGCAAGGCGGCAGCGGAGACTCGCGCACCACGCAGTTTACCTTCAATGAGAACGCCGCTATGCCGGTCGAAGAGGTCAATCAATCTTCCCCTGGTGACACGGCAGACAGTGGCGGGATACGCTCTACCCGAACTACACAGTCCGGATGGCAAGTCACATCAAACAGACGAAGAATATCCACTCAAAGCACACCTAGATCTTCTCGAAACAGTGCTCGGAGTGATGTTGTCCGTCAAGGGCATCGACCATCTCAAGGACGAACTACTCCAAGGGACAGATCCACCAGGGCCGTGACCGACCGAATTGGTGAGAGGACCGGGGATAGTCGTGTTAAGAGGAGATCAACAGATACTTCTGTGGCTAGTGAACCTATTGCCATGATAGAGGAACTACGGGCACAATGTCAATCCCTACGTAATCAGCTGAACAACATGGAAGCATACGCTGCATCTAGAGATCAACTGATCCATGACATCGAGATCAGATTCACTGAATATCTTCGGGAACACAACCAGAATGTACTTGATGAGGTCAATGCACTCAATAACAGATTATTATGTTCCGCAAATGAGGTTGCAGAATATCAAGCAGAACTAATGGTAGCATCTCAGGAAGATGAAGGTGCAACAATGCGCATCCAAGACCTTGAACGCCGAGGTGCCCTAATGGAACATGGTGCACGACGGATCCATCAACGTGGCATGGAGATCCAGGAAGAGTACAAGGATGAAGTACATCACCTTCAAGGACTACTGGGTAATACGGAGGCAAGACTTCAACAACTTCATCAGACCAATGTCTTAACCACCGATATTGCCAATCGACTATACAATGAAGGTCAGGAAATGCAAACAGACTTCCAGAATTCAATCATGGAATATCGTAATCGATCCGAGATGGCATCCTTCTCTAGTAATCAACTTGAAGTGATTAGCCAACAACAATCAATTGCAGTTCATGAATTGTCTGAGCGAAATCAACTATTGAGTGAAGCCTTGGTTCAGTCTCGTAAACAGGCCGAGCTGTATGAGAGCAGTATTGATGAGATCACTAGAGAATCTAGGAAGAAGGTGTTCGAGGCAAATCAGGCCAAGTTGGAAAGTGACCTGAAGCATCGGAATACCGAACATGATACCGTCAGAAGAATTGCATCATACAGGAACCAAGAGGCCGAAGCAATATCGCACCTGAGGCTTGAATCACAGGCTAGCACAAACTCGATCGCAAAGGCAGAGCATTATGAGGAGCTCTATGCGAACGAGCAGAAGATGAACTGCGAACTGAAGGATGAGATCAAGTTGCAGAACGCGAAGTTACGGAGATCGCTGACTCAGGGTTCTACGACCGACGGTCGTGGCCCCGATGAGATGCTTGTCGAAGATCTGCGTAATCAGGCCAAGATCGCTCAAATCAGGGTTCAGGACCTAGACCATGAAATTCATGAATGTTTACAAGAGAACCTATTGTTAAAAGAAAGATTGACTGAAGTTGCGGATGTAGGGGCGCCGTCCCTCACCAATACCGAGGTCCGAACTCTGAAATCTGAACTAGAGAATGAGCGCAAAATGGTATTGGCTAGTGGTGTTCAACAATATGAGAGATCATGCATATTCATGGGAGAAATCCAGGATAGGGATGAAAAGATCGGTATTAAGAACTCTGAAATTATGGACATGAAACGTCAAGTAGATGAAATGAGAAAGAGTCTCAAGGATTCTGAAATATCCATGTCAAGGGTCAACCCTGACACGCTTTCCTATTCTGCAGGCATTCCCAACTACGATCTCGCATCAAGACTAGTCATCGACGAATTGGAGAATGACGTGAGTGAGGCTAACTGTGAAAACGCTATTCTGAAGTCTTGGGTCTCGCAGATTGACAAGGAGTTGAACCATGAAACAAATGTAGCCAAATCCTATCGCGAACATGCTGTACATCCTCAACGACAACCTTCTCAATCAAACAAAAGAATCACTGATCTGTTGAGAGAAGTCGACAATAGGATCGCTGACGGAACTGAGAGGGACTACTACAAACCACCGAGTGGATGGGGCGGTCCGCCTGACCCTGATGGACCTCCTGACCCTTTCGGGCCCAACGGTCCAGGACCACCTCCTGAACCTCCGGGATTGCCTTCAGTTCGAGGATCACAACGTGATTCAGCAGATGATGTCTCCACTGCAGCTTACACGGCAGAAGAAGCGCCAAGAATGTCACGACGGGAGGCTGACAAGGTCTATGTTAGCCCATGGCCGAAACAGCAGAATCTTGGGGTCTGGCAATCAGATCTCATTAAGAGTGTTGTTCTTGCTGCCAATGATGGGGACAAAGCCGCATGGGAAGCATGGTTACAACCGGCTATTCGACCAAATCCCGATATCGAGCTATTGAATGACAGTGGAGGGCAACGATACCAGTCAATCGACGCCAAGTTGTCAATCGCATTGTCAAACGTGATAGCCCAAGCCGGTGATGTTGCTCGTCATGTAGCGATCAAACTGAGATTGAGGACACAAAGTCATAGTCGAAGAGGAACCTATGTCATGGGACGGGAAATCTTGGCTATGATCTTGGAGCACTTCAGAACTCCAGGTCAACGAGAGACAGCCTTCACTATGGAGCACATCGTATCGATGAAGTATCTCGGTGACTCAAACCTGGAAGTGTTCTATGAGAAATGGATGGAGATGGTATCTAACATGATGCCGGATGATGTACCTCCTGATGATTGGCTTCGTGATGCTTTATACAAGAAGATTCGAAATTCGAGCCTTATGATGTTCGACATCAAGCAATACGAGTCATGGATGGAGGGAGACCAAAGACGAAGCTATCGCTATCTCTTGGACGTCATCGAAAGACATATCTCCAGAATTAGAGAGGATAAGCATGTAGCCGCTAGAGAAAAGTATGCAAGAGATTTTGCAGGTGGCGGCAAACCTTCAGCTCCTGCACCAAATCCGACTGCTGCTGCACCGGATGCGAACCCAAAAGCAAAGCCCAAGGCTACTCCCAAGGAGAAGGCAGCACCCAAGGCGAAGGCCAAGGCCGATGCAGCTCCGGTTCTACCATCTCCTCAGCCTAAGCAGCATGCAAAAGGGAAGGGAAAAGGTCAAGGGAAAGGAAAGGATCGAGCAAACAGCCGAAGTGCCAGTCCAAGATCCAAGAAGAAAATCCCGTGTCATTTCCACTTCATTAAGAAAGCATGCAGAAAGGGCAAAGATTGCGAATACAGTCACGACCAAAAGGTGTTCGATGCAAACAAGAATGCTAAAGGCAACGGTCGAAAGCCAGGGACTCCAAGAAGTCAGTCTCCTGCAAACAAAACCAAGAAGATTGATGAGCCATGCTGGCATTGGGCCAAGGGCAAGTGTCGGTATGGAGACAAGTGCAACAAACGCCACGATCCTCATCTATTCAACACTGCTCCAAACACTGAGGCACCAAGCTCAAAGGCTACACCTGCACTTATCCATGATTGGAGTGATGATGAAGGGACATTCCACAAGGTTGCATCTAACGTGATTAAGAAGAAAGTCAGATTCGATGAGTCTAAGAATACCGTTCAAACTTACGTGAAGAAGGACTTCGTAAAGTGCAACCGGAAATCCCAAACTACTCCCAAAGGTCATGGTAAAGTTGGTAAGCCCACTGATCAGGTAAGAAAAGATGAACAATGGTCTTATTCATGCAGGTTAGCTTCGAGCCGAGGGAAAGCAATGGCTATCCTGATCGATGAGAAGGGTGAGTACAGTGACATTGATGAAGTCCTGGTCATCGTCGGCCCTAGTATGGACATTCTAATCAGACTCGACATTGAGGAAGATGAGGTGTCCAGGGAAGTTTTTGTGGAGAACTATGTCCAGCATATTAAAGGCCGATATGGTAAAAGGGGCAACACAATGTGCATCACTGTTCCTGTTGAGGAGAGAGATAAGAGATTCATATTGGATTCGGGAAGTGGTCATGATCTCATTTCATCCACACGAATTAATAGAATGGATCTCCCAACATATGATGACAAGGTCGTCAACTTCCACACAGCAAATGGGGTGACATGTTCGACTAAACGCTCAAGCATCAAGTTCGAGGCATTCAGTGAACCAGCAGAAGCCCACATCCTGGAGGACACGCCCTCTGTGCTCTCCATGGGAAAGCGATGCGTTGATCTTGGTTACTCATTTGTGTGGCCGACTGGAAGAACCCCATTCATGTTGGATCCAAATGGTAACATCATCGAGATGACCGTCAAAGACTACATCCCCTATGTGAGCGTCGATCAAGAGAAGAGAAAGTTGAGATCATCATGTGTGGAAAAGATTATGGCAGTTCTTGATGACGGATGCTCAACGTCAGAAGGAGAAGGTCTTTTGGTCATTGATGGAGAAAGTGGAGATGAGCTGGAGGATCTTTCCGACCCCGTTGGAGGATCCGATGTTAAGTCTCCCAAAAGATCATTGAAGAAACGTAAGAAAACAAAGTCAAGATGCGATCAACATGAAGTCGCTGT